AGATTGTCCTCTTCTCCTCTTTTTATTCTAGATTTTATTACCTTTGTGTATAGTCATCTTATTGAGAGTGAAAGAAGGGTGGTTTGGAGCAGATTGAAATCTTTAGCTAGTGGTATTGTTAGTACTTAGTGTTGCATTAGGGATTTTAATGATTTAGCTTCTTTATTTGAGAAATTAGGTGGAAATCCTAAAGCTTTAAGGATGATTATGAATTTTCATATTACTTTATCAGATTGTGGCTTAATGGTTATTGGTTTTCAAGGTCCTCAATTTACTTGGACTAATAAAAGAATGGATGTGGATCATGTTAAAGAAAGATTAGGTAGATGTGTAGGGAATTTTTCTTGTTGAGTGGTTTTTGATAAAATAGTGGTTTTTTACCTTGAACCTATTGGCTTGGATGATTATATCATTCTATTAGATTGCTATTTTATTGATGAAAAGTCTAAAGAAATTTTGGTTTAATTTTGGTTTAATGCAAATTGGGTAGAACATGATGAGTACTTGTTGTAGTAGATAGGGGCTAGAGGAAAAGGAGAGATGGTTCGTGTAATATTAGACAGAATATTATTGTTTGTAAAAGGACATGTAAAAGGGAGATATGGAGTCGAAGTAAAAAAGAATTACCCAATAATTGTAAGATGATTGAAGAGTTAATACAGTAATTATAGGCTTGTAATCAGGGGATTTGGATTGAGGATTCCAAAATCAAAGCTGATTGTAATGTTGGGTTGATTGATGAGGCATGGAAAAAGGAGGATATTTTTTGGTGGCAAAAGGTGAGGGGGAATTGGATTAATTTTGGTGATAAAAATACTAATTTTTTTTGTAATATTATGTTACAACATCGAGTGAGGAATAAAATTTTAAGATTGAAAGGTGAGAATGTTACTTGGCTTGAAGATGTTAGTGATGTTAATGGGGTGTTTTCATCCTTCTATAAGGAGTTGTTTTCTTCTATAGAGCTTAGATTGATGGAAGAGCACTTCAATATGTTTGTAGAGTTGTTTTAGATGAAGATAATGCCTTATTCTTGACTTCAATTATTGTTGAGGAAATTGAACTTGTTATTTCTCAATTAAATGCCATTAATGCTCCTGGACCAAATGGGTTTACAGGTTTGTTTATCAAACTTCTTGGTTTGTGGTGAAAGAAGATATTTGTAATATGGTTTTTTAGGTTTTCAATAATGATATAAATTTGTTGGATGTTAATTTGACTAGTATTGTCCTTATTCCAAAAGCTGACAAACCCAAGACTGTGACTCAATTTAGGCCTACTGGTTTATGTAATGCTTTTTATAAGATCATTGCCAAAATTATGACTAGTAAGGTGAGGGGTTTATTAAATAAGTGCATTAGTCAACAATAAAGGGGTTTTATTATTGGTAGAATGATTCACGACAACATTACTGTTTCTCATAAAGCTTTTCATTACTTGAAGGGTAGGAAGAATTTTAAAACAGTTAAGTTGGCTCTTAAGGCTAACATAAGTAAAACCTATGATAGGATTGAATGGGATTTTTTGAAGGCTATACTGTTGAGAATGGGTTTTGATGAGAAGTGGGTTAAATTGATTATGCATTGCATTTCCTCTACTGAATTTGAGTTGCTAATTTTTGATAAAAATGTGGATAAGTTTAAGCCTGAATTTAATGTTAGGCAAGGAGATCCTCTCTCTCCTGTTCTTTTTATTATTGTTGCTGATGTTTTGCCACCAATGGTTTTTTATCATATTGAGAAAGGTGAGTTGAAGAGTGTTAAGTTGGCTAAGGGATGTCTTACCCTTTCTCATTTATTCTTTACTGATGACTCTTTGTTTTTCTATTAAGGCTAAAAAAAATCAATGTATACTTTTAAAGAAAATACTTAATGTATATTGTGCAGCTTTAGGACAAGTGATAAATTTGGAAAAATGTTGTATTTTTCTCTCTCTGCTAATGGTAAACCAAACTTAAGGAGTGAGATCTCGGAGGTGTTATAGATCTTTAGTGTGGATTAGCTGAGTAAATATCTTAATCTTCCTTTTATTTGGGATAGACCTAAAACTGCTTCTTTGGCTTTTGTTAAAAATAAAGTTGATTTGAAAATTCAAGGTTGGAAACAAAAACTTTTGACATTTTTTGGCAAGAAAGTTTTGATTAAGGCTGTTGCTAATGCTATTCCCATTTATCCTATGGCTTGTTTTTCATTTCCTGCTAAAACTTGTAATGAACTAGATAGATTAATTTCTGATTTTTTGTGGGCTAATGATAAGGATGGTAGGGGTAAGATCTATTGGCATAAATGGAGTTTAATGATTGCTTCTCAAAATGATAGATGTATAGGATTTAGGGATTTTATGCTGTTAATAAAACTCTCCTTGCAAGATTGCTTGGAGGTTATTGTAGAATTCTAGTGAATTTTGGTGTCAAATCTTAAAGGATTTATATTTTCCTAATTGTAATCTTTTTTAGGCTAAAAAAGGTAGACGTTCATCTTTTTTAGGCTAATTGTAATCTCAAAGGTATTATAGCTCTTTAGTATGGATCAGCTGGATAAATATCTTGGTCTTCCTATTATTTAGGGTAGATCTTAAACTGCTTCTTTGGCTTTTGTTAAAAATAAGGTTGGTTTGAAAATTCAAGGTTGGAAATAAAAACTTTTGACATTTTCTAGCAAGGAGGTTTTGATTAAGGTTATTGTTAATGCTATTCGTATTTATCCTATAGCTTGTTTTTCATTTCCTACTAAAACTTGTAAGGAATGAAATAGATTAATTTTTTATTTTTGGTAGGGTAATGGTGAGGATGGTGGGGGTAAGATCTATTGGCATAAATGGAGTTTGATGACTACTTCTAAGAATGATAGAGGTATAGGATTTATGGATTTTTTGTTTTGTTAATAAAACTCTTCTTGTTAAGATTGCTTGGAGGTTATTGCAGAATTCTAGTGAATTTTGGTGTCAAATCTTGAAGGGTTTATATTTTTCTAATTATAATCTCTTTTAGGCTAAAAAGGGTAGATGTCCATCTTGGTGTTGGAGTAGCATTCTTAAGGGTTGTGATTTATTAAAAAAGTAAATCTTTGTGGAAAATTTAGGATGATGAATTAGTGAATATTTGGAAAGATGCTTGAATTTTGAGCCTTAAGAGGATGAGACTAAAAGGTGAGGGGGTAAGTGAGGAAATGAAAAATACTAGGGTGTCTTCTTTAATTTTGCAAGGTCATTGGAATTTTAGTCCAATTTTGAATTTCATTTTGGTTAATAAGAGGGAGGAAATTCTGAAAATCAGATTGCCTACTGTATTGGGAAAAGCCATGTTATTTTGGACTCCTTGTAGGGATGGAATGTATTCTGCAAAGTCAAAATATTATGTGGCTAAAAATGAAGTTGTAATCATTGATAAATCTCTTCCAAGTTGTTCTTATTTTCCTTCTAAGCATTTATGGAGTAGTGTTTGGAAGTTAGAGGTACCTCCTACAGTCAAACATTTCTTGTGGAGATTCTTAATTATGCTGTAGCTACGAAGGAAGCATTGTTTAAGAGAAAATGTGCTGATTCTAAAATATGTCCTATTTGTTTGATTAATGTGGAAACTAAAGAACATCTTTTGTTTTCTTGCATTTGGGTCTTTTCTTTTCTTGCATTTGGGTTAGAGCTTGCTGGTTTGGCAGTAACTTGGGTATTTTGATAACAGATTAAATCAATAATGTTGTCAGTGGGTTTATTAACATGTTTTATGATAACCAATTGTTGGATTCTGTGGGGAAACCCATACTTGCTTCCACATATTGGGAAATTTGGAAGTGTAGGTATGGTTAGGTGATAAGGTTGATGCTATGAAAGTGGGTTTTGAATGCTAGAAGATTTGTTAGTGAATGTATTGAAATAAAGGTGGCTAGTAAGTCTCATTTATTGAAATCTGATTCTGATTTGAGTCATAGGAAAACTTGTTGGATGCTTCCAACTAAGGGTGAGGTGAAAATTAATTTTGATGGTTCTTTTAAGGATGTTAATTGAGTCGGTATTGGTTTAGTTTGTAGAGATTGTCATGGGAATTTTTAGGTGGTTGCAGTACGGAGGTGTCAACTTCTTCTTCTTTCATGTTTGAATGTTTGGCAAGTTTGGAAGGCTTGAGAGTTGATGGTAAATTTGAAGGAAAGAAAATTGTCATTGAAATGGATTGTAAGATGCTTTATCGCATCATGATAGGTAAGATATTTAAATCTTAAGATTGGTGTAGTACTAATATTTTACAAGATATTCTATCTAGTTATAAGTCAAGCAGGAGGCTCTCTTTTTTTGGTGGCTCACCAAGGTAATGAAGCAACTAATTGATTAGCGGCTATAAGTTCTAAGAAGATGTGTCCATCTAGATGGCTTCTGGAAGCAACATCTTCTTTGTGTTTTTTTATTTGCTGATTTGCAATCTACTAAAGGTTTTAATGTTAATAACTTTTTTGATAGTTGGAACAGAGTTGGTATTGGGTATTTTACTTCTTCTGTTTCTTGATTGCTGGTTCTTTGTTGTTTTGTTGTTGTTGTTTTTTTTTTTTTTTGTGAGCTTGTGTGTTAGATTGTATTTAGGTTTTATTTTTTTTTAGTGTTTTTGCTGAGTTTTGTGTATTTTATTTTATATTCATGTTTTTTTAGTGTTTTTTTTCTTCAAGTATTAGTGATTGTAATTTTGATGATTAATAAAATTAGCTCCTCTTTTAGGGGGAAAAAACTTTTTAAACAATCTTTTGACCGATTTAATACCAAGACTAAAATTGAAAGAAAAGCAAAAGAAACATAAGCAAGTTCAAGTTAAAAGACTTGAGACCATCCAATAGTATCGGTTATCACATACCCAAATCATGTGAAGAACACTCTGAAGGTGAAATCTGCACAAAATAGTCAGAATGCTCCGTCATTTTCAAGCAGGAAACTACAAAGATTTCTCTTAACCCCTAGCAGACACAGAACCCATGTAATTACAAAAAAAAAAAAAAGTATTCAAGTCAGGTCAGATCATCTTAATTATTTCTCTGACGAGTATAAGCAGACAGATTCAGATACATATGCTGATCATAATCTTCATTATTATTATCCCATGGAGCTCTACAAATCACACAACTAATCACTCTATTCACTTTGCTTCCTTTCCACCTCACAAAGCACCGTTCATGAATTGCATTCCAGCAAGTCCCACAAGTCACAAGCTTCTCTTCATTCTTCATCTCATCTAAACAAATCGGACATGAAGTCCCATACTCAACCGCAACGTTATCGGAGGAACGTTCCGGCGCCTTTCAATGAAAGAACAACTGGTGAAACCTCTGGCAGAGTGCTACGTTAGCGAGGGCGTCCGGCGATGTGGGCTGATCCAGAAGGCGGCAGAGGTTAAAAGGGAAGAGAGTGTTCTGGAGGAGAAAGACACTGTCTGGAGAGACGCCAAGGAGTCGAATGAGGACGAAGAGAATGTGTTTGCGAGGGGTTACAGAGTCAGGACATGAACAGCAGGGGAAGGCGGAGAGAGTGACGGTGAAGACGTTTCCGATGGCGCTGAGGACGAAGAAGGTGGAGTAGGAACGGTGGAGGAGCTGGAGGTCTTGCTGGAGTGCTCGGCACACTCGATCGGAGATGGGGCTACAATGGAGAGGATTAGAGTAAAAAGACGCCATGGATGGAGTGGAGTGAAGGTGTTTACGAAAAAGAGTAAAGTGACCGCATGGAATCTGCTTCGATCATCTTCATCTGATTCTGAATGGATTAAATTAACTAGATTTATTCTGGATATTTTAATATTTAAAAGATAAAAATAAAAAATAATTTTTTGGGAAAGTGACAAATAAAGATTCCAGGACATTAATCTCAATTGAGGATCATAGAATATAAAAATTTCAAATAAGGACCATTAGGATTTAAAAAATATATATGGTCTTAAATGCTCCTAAGAAAAAAATAGTAAAATACCCATACGCATAGCCTTATTTCTTGCTCTGTTTCAGCATCTCCTTCTTTCTTCTTTCATTTTCCTTCATTATCGTTCTTTGTCATTCCTCGACATGTCCATATTAGCTCTAGTGTTGTGAACACATCATGCTAGATTTAGGATTTGCTGTCATTCATCTTTGTCAAGGCTTCGTACTCTTTCCTCCCACTTGGCTTCACCCTTCTCAAATGGCAGTGACATTACTATTGTCAGAGAGAAGATTGATTAACAAAGCTGAAGAAATTGTTGATGATGAGCATGCCATCTAATGAAAGAGTACACTGTGTGAAAAAACTGCTTAGAACAAAAACTTGCAACCTAGAAATGAAGAATGTAGGATTAGCTATTCCAACAAACGAGGAAGAGAAACTCTCCCTAAAAAATAAAAATGATGTCTACATGTATTGACATCAATGTAATATAATGCTGATATCTATTTTAAATTTAAATATGTGCAAGTGTAAATGATGTCATCATGTAAGACTATTGAAGTCACTACTGTAGCATAGGAATATTGCTACTGTAACTAGTGAAAACATAGAACCTCACTTGAAAATAAATTTTTTCATAATTTTTTAGACTTTGAAGTGTAAATGCTGTCATAACATAAAACTCACTTTTAAAATGTTCCAAAGCCGCTTATAAAAATACAAATATCACTTAAAAAGTTACTAAATTTAGTGAAGAATATGAACACTAACATGATTTGTTAAATTTCACTAACCCGGTTGAATTGGGATCCACTAATTTCATTTAAGAATTCACTAACTCAACTCAGGAAAATGGCTAACGTATATTGTAAAAGTACAAAAACTTACTTAGGAATAGATTGTTTAAGAAAAAGTGACTTTGTCTAAATTAGGATCCAGTAACGTCACTTAGAAATTCATTAACCCAACTTAGGAAAATGCCTAACGTATATTGTGAAAACACAAAACCCCACTTGAGAATAGATTGTTTAACATGGACGTGCATTTTGGTGTACTTAATTTTCAGTTTAACTATACTTTATTCCTTAATAACTAGATCAGAGTTTGAAAAACTCAAAAATTTTCATGTTCCTTACTAACTATATTCTGTCACTTTTTCTTAAACAATCTATTCTTAAGTGGGGTTTTGTGTTTTCACAATATACATTAGGCATTTTCCCAAGTTGGGCTAGTGGATTCCCAAATGATGTTATTGGATCCCAATTTGAACAAGTCACTTTTTTTTAACAATCTATTCCCAAGTAAGGTTTCGTATTTTCACAATATACGTTAGCCATTTTCTTGATTTGAGTTAGTGAACTTTCAAGTAACATTAGTAGATCCTAATTCAATCGGGTTAGTGAAATTTAACAAGTTACATTAATGTTCATATTCTTCATTGCAATTAGTAACTTTTTAAGTGATGTTTGTATTTTCATAAGCAGCCTTGGAACATTTTAAAAGTGAGTTTTATGTTATGACAACATTTACATTTCAAATTCTAAAATACTGCAAAAAAAAAAAATTATTCCCAAGTGAGGTTCTATGTTTTTACTAGTTATAATAGCAATATTGCTATGCTACGTTAGTGACTTTAGCAGTCTTATGTGGTGACAACATTTACACTTGCACATATTTAAACCTGAAATATATATCAGCATTATATTACACTGATTTCAATACATGTAGACATCATTTTTATTTTTTAGGGAGAGTTTCTCTTCCTCATTTGTTGGAATAGCCAATCCTACATTTCCCATTTCTGGGTTGCAAGTTTCTGTTTTAAGCAGTTTCTTCATAGTAGTGTACTCTTTCACTTGATGGCGTGCTCATCATTAACAATTTCTTCAGCTTTGTTAATCAATCTTCTCTCCGACAGTAACAATGTCATTACCATTTGAGAAGGGTGAAGCCGAGCGAGAGGAAAGAGTACAAAGTTCTGACAAAGATGAATGATAGCAAATCCCAGATCTAGCATGATGTGTTCACAACACTGGAGCTAATAGGACAAGCCAAGGAACGATAAAGAACAAGAACGAAGGAGAATGAAAGAAGAAAGGAGACGTTGAAATTGAGTAAGAAATGAGGCTGCATGCAAGGGTATTTTGCTATTTTTTTTCAAGGGCATTTAAGACCATTCACGTTTTTAAAATCCCAATGGTCCTTAATTGGAATTTTCATATTTCCTAGTCTTCAATTGGAATTAATATCCTTAAGAGGTCCTTAATTGTCATTTTTCCTAATTTTTCTGTGTATTCAAAATAACATATTTTATTAATTTACATAAATTAAAATTGAAATAATAATTTATTTTATAGTAAAAATTGTTTTGCCCATACATATTAAAAATAAAAATAATTACTCATTTTGTCTTAATTGTGTTAATTTTAGGATATACTCCTTTCATTTAAAAATATAAAACATTTTTAATCGAATCTCACCCTCCAATAAAATAATTACCTACTTTTCAACTAACCCTATCTTTTCATATTTACCCCTATTAAACACCCTATAATAAATATAAAGTCATTATTAATAGAGACTTTTTTTAAAAAAGGTAATAATTACGCCTTAAAAGACTAAAAATGTCTTATATTTTTTAACATCCAACTCCTTAAAAAATTATTTGTATTTTTTAATGGAGGGAGTATTTATATTTTTTCTTTGATTAATATGTGAAAAAATCAAGTTAAAAAATATACTTCTTACTATGTTCTCCCCATAATTAATAAAAAAAATTACTGCCAAAAAATTCCTGAATATATTACTAATTGTTCTATGTAAATTAAAATCTAACAATAATTTTTATTTTGTAATATGCTACCCTTATCATAAGGGTAACTTTTAATATAGGGCATTATGTATATTAAAAAAATATAAATAGTATTTTTTTAAATTTCTTAGCTCCTGCAAATTAAAGTATAATTAAGTTATTTTCTTTTAGAATTTGTTGGCCTAAATACACTATCCAAAGAAAAATAAAACATATACTATAATAAATTTTATATTATAATTTATATCATAATAATTTTTATAAATTACAATTATAGTCAAAAGTAAAAAAAATAAAAAAATTATGTATATATTAAATAAAAATTTTAAATTAAGAAAATAGTATAGCTAATACTATAGTACTCTAAAAATTTATAAACTGCTTTTAACTATTTCCTTCATCCTTATATATAGGGTGTTTTTTAAAAATTTATTCTATCCTTAAATATAAGAGGTCTCATGATAATTTTGAGTAATTGAACATTTTTGCCTTCAATGTCTTGAGAAGGGAGAAGGGATATTATTGTGGGTTTTACCCACCTTCATGATATTAATTGTTATATTATTATGTGTAAAATTGGAAATTATTGTGGTTTTATGAATTTTAACCGAATACCAAACTTTTATTGATATACATGATTTAATTAAAGACACCTTATATATAAATATAGAGGGAGTATATCACTGTAATTAAAGATACATAGTTAAATAATTATTTTTTTCTAAAAAAGAAAAAATTCAAGGTACCTTAATTAAATTCATTATATTTAAAAGATAATATCTCTTTTATATATAACTTTTTCCTCTATTTATAAAAAAATATTAAGGGGTAAAATTGAAAAAAATCATTAATGGTCCATTTTCATGTGGAAAAACTTATTAAATAGACCATCAATTACTTATAGAATGTGATTCATGTGTAGAATTGATGGTAGTACCATGTATTAATTATATGTATTGCATGACAAGAAAAAAACAACAATTAAATTGAGACAAATTTAAAAGGTGCACATGAAAAGTAAGCTTTGTTTTAAAAGTTGTTGTTTGATGCCTATAAGATATGCCCTCAATTGCCAATCATTTAATTTGGATCAAAGACCTAGAATGCCAAAATGCACACAGAAAAATGAAATTCTATTTTATAAATTTAAATTTAAAATTTATGTTTTACCTACCACAAAGTAAAATTTGAATAACACCTTGTCTTATTTTAAATTTTTTATCTATGCTGATATTGAAAACATAAATAACATTAAAAATTATATATAAAAAATTTTTAGTCTATGTATGTTAAAGTAAAAAAGAATGACTTACTATTTTAAGATGTGTTATTCACTCATAAATTAAAATTTAAATAATAAAAAATTTTATTTCATAAATTGTTATTTAGCTTTGTATTATATTCTACCATTTATTATCTTATACATATGAAAAGGGCTAATGAACAATATACCCTCTAAATTATTGTATGAATAGCATCCTAAACCCTAAATTCATAAAATATGTAAAAAAATTTTTAACTTTTAAATTTCTAACACCTAAAACCTTGTTGTTAAGTAGTAAAAAAAGGGTCATGACTTTTCAAGTTGTGGGGCCCATTCGCATGTGAATCACGGTGAGTAGGAATGAGCGCAAATTAGTGTGTGAGTGGGCTCCATAACTTAAAATGTAATGACTTTTTTTTTTTTTTACTACTTAATGGTGGGGTTTTAGATATATAAAATTTAAAAGTTGAAAAATTTTTTATACATTTTACAAGTTTAGGATTTAAAATGTTATTTGTGCAATAGTTTAGGAGTTATATTGCTTATTAGTCCTATAAAAAAAATACAATTACCACATGATAGGTCTTTTACCTATTATTTTTACTATAAGCCGCTTATGATCCTTCAACGTATTTTTTTAAAAAAAATTAAGCTAGTGTTCATCCTATATAAATTTATTTCAT